GCCGAATAAATTATATGCCGCTTTATAGCCGAAGATAAAAGTTATATAATTTTGATTAGCCGAATTATATACTTTTTGACGAATGATTGACGAGTGGCATTATGCCGAATAAATCCATTTCGACTAGTGATTGTTAGGATCCTTATCTTCTATAAATGCACACTCTCTATAAATACATATTTTCTATAAATATATATTCTCTATAAATGCATATTTTTTAAAAATTTTCTTATGGTCTCAAGGAATATTTATTTAGAAAGGGTTTACTGTAAATAATTTTTCTATTTTATGTATTTTTTATATTATATTAATAAAACATTAGATTAAAAAATCTACATTTTTTTTTAATAATTAATTTCTACATGTAGTTTTATTATATAATCAGTTTTTATAAATCTATTTTGAATATATTTATATTTTATTTAAAAAAATAGAAAATATATAATTTAAGATTAATTTACTTAAAAAACAGAATTCTAAACTTGTAGTTGAAATTGCTAAGCTTATAGAAAAAAATGTTGAGATATCTGAACTTAAAAAGATATTTGCCAAGGTTAAAGCTAAAAATGTGAAGTTGAAAAAGGTTATTGAGACAAATATAAAGTGTAATGCTAGAGTTGAGAAATTAAAGTAAAAAAATATAAAGCTTGAAACCAGACTTGCTATATTAGAACAGGAAGAAAAAAAATATTTCTGCAGATGTTTTTCACTCTCCAGTAAATTCCAATAATACTTATAAACAGATAATCTCATGTAATAAGGAGTCTAACCCATCTAATTTGGATATATGTCATGATTTGATAACCTTCACATCACCCATTCCTGCTAAAACCATATTATTGAAAGAGAAGGAAGAAAATGAATTCCCAGATTCAAAGCGTAAATAAATGGTTATAAAAGAGGTTATTAAGAACATTAAGGAGAAAAAACTTCAAGATCAAGACTTATCTTTGGTTAGCTATAAGAAAAAGGAAACAGATCAAACTCCAGCAGAAATTGTCCAATACTTTTTTGGAGCCAAGTTCACAAGATCACTCTATATCAAAAAATATTAAACCTGGACATATTATGGAATATATGGGATTGATGGTTCTATAAAGTATATTGTTAATTCATTTGATATTAATGAGGTATCACAATATTAAGCTCAGTTATGTGACACAACCATAGATGCCGAAGATCGAGCTTTCAAGGCTAATCAGGAAGAAATTATGTGTTGGTCTCTTTATGCAGGAGTTTTGAATTTCAAGTTGATAAGATGAGTAGTAAAAATGAAATTGGAGAGAAAAGCAAGAAACTTTAATTATAATAAAATTGAAAATAAACACTCTATTCTTCGTAAAAACGATCACAAGATTTAGGTTTACAACTTCCAAAAGTACCACGAGATACACAAAAAACTCAACGAGCTGCAAAAATTTATAAGTTATTCGAAAAGATAGGTCTATATAAAATTAAACATACTAATAGCTATAGTATAAATTAAATCTCAGAACTTACTAATGATCAAATTCAAGAGATTATTAATTATGGTTCAGAGAGCCGAATCTCAAATTCTCCTTCGCTTGAAATTTCCGGGACAGAGCCGTCTCGAAAAATCTCACCTCACATTAAAGCAATGATTATTCAGATTCTAACTTGGAATCACCTGATGATGAGAAATCTTACGATGGGATCAATAGTGATATTGACATGGGATAGCTTCCGGCTAAGAATTTCTCTGATGATAGCGACGATGGACTGTATTGCGATTCTTCCGATGATGATGATGATGATGATAATAGAGGTTCTGGGATTTTTCTGATGATGATGAGACGATTTAAGTAGCGAAAAGAGAAAGTATAAAAATTCGGATTATTTAATTAGTGCATATTAGCATTGCTAGCCCCGCTAATGATTTTCAGTGCATGTCATTTGCTTTGCAGAAATATTGGTTAAAATTTTTGCCAGCTTGATTTCTGCCTGTAAAAAATATATACAGTAAGACATCATTGAAATTTTTGTTGTACTGTATAATTAGCCGGATCAGCTTCTATTGGTTGGAAGTGAGAAGAATCTTCACAATTATCATATGACATAGCATATACCGTATCGTACGTTTATATCGGTTTTTCGCGTTTTTAGGTGCAAAATGCTCTGCTATGTAGACAAACATTGATTTTTCCTTTTTTATTTATGATCGATTTCATTGAATCATCAGGGCAATACCGTAGAAAAAAAATATCCCATAAAAAATATGCCAAACACTTATTTAGTTATATTATATAATTCACGGTATTAAATTTACCTTGTCTTTATTGGTTGGAAGTGAGAAGAATCTTCCCGATTATCATATGACACAGTACTGTATGTTATCTTATTTCTATCCCAGCTTATCATGGCGTATCCCGCTATATGAAAATCATATCTAATTATTCAAGGCTTCAACTTTAATCCCTCTGAACATGGTGAGAGTAATAATGAGGAAGAAAAATGATGATATGGGTGCAATGTTTTTTGACGATAATGATGTTGATTATTATTACTATTTAAGTAGCAGGAAGAAAACGTATAAAAATTCGGATTATGCTATTGTTTGTGTAATCTTTGGCCTAATTTGTTGTGAATTCATTTCATCTATTTTGTACCTTTCGCTTGCCATTGTTCGAAAGCTTGACAGGGAAGAAAAAGTCTATATTTCATTGCTGAAGGATGTATCCGATGAGGAAATATCTGGGCACCTTGACTGGAAAACATGGTTAGGAAAGTTCTTGGTCATATTGCATGGTAGTGGGTGGAGGTACAGAAGCCAGATTCGGATTTTCGAAGTGAAGAGAGCATAATGAAAAAACACAGTTCATCAAGTAATCGCAGAAAAGTCAGCATAGAAACTTCATGTATCCCGGATTACGTCCCGAAATTTTTATTTATTTTTGCATTGCATGACACTAATATTGTATTAATAAAATATGTCTTCTCACAATAAAGTTCCAGTCGTGATGATTTAATTTTAAATATAAATTAATCACCTCTAAGTTAATATAAAAATGCCGAGACACTATCAACAACTTTGCTATTAAAAGAAGCTCCATGTCCAAAAGATTCAATAACTCATATTATTGTTACGCATAAGCCAGTTGATTATGTCAACGTAAAGAGAATGGCTGTTGCAAGTTTCCTCATTTCTGTTTCTCTGGATCAACATCACATAACTTCATGCTTTACTCATATGAAAGAAGAAATGATTCACTTGAGGGTTAGAAAATACTTAGAACCTGAATGTACTACACGTGCAGTTTGGTGAAGACAAGAGTAATTCTGGAAATGATAGATATTTAAAATAATAATTTGGTAATGGTTTTTTTTATAATTATTATAAATTACAGTATGATGTAAATATCAATGTTAACTAAATACAGTAAAATAAAGAATAAAATTAAATTAAAGTTAAAAAAAATAAAGAATAAAATTAAATTAAAAAATTATTGGTTTCTAACGGACATAGGTTCGACGATGTACTATTTCACTATTACAATCTGCAACAATTCCGCCTCCTTCGAGATCACAATTCCAATATATTGTAATCCAAACATCAAAATAAGTTCCTTTTGGAGGAGTTGGTCTATAAAAATACCATTGTGAATGATATTCCAGAGGTATATTCTCGCAGTTATCACATGTACAACCATTAACCCATATAGGGTCATACAAAAATCTACGATATTCGCCATTATCAGTTTGCAAGCTAAAGTGGCCTATTGCTGATGTTCACCTACCGTTACCATAATCAGGAGATTCAACCGTGATATTAAGTATAGAACCTGGTAACAAATTAACATCTGTAACCTGAGCACCACATTCTAAAAAAAAAAAAAAAAATTGTTAGCTTTTTTTATCAGAAGAATTATGAATTAGAAAATTAATTTACTATAATTTGAGCGACTACTATTGCTGCAGCCGTTAGCTTCAGCAGGATAACAACTATGAGTTTTTTTAATATGCATAATTAATAAAAATGAAAGTAAAATTATGATGTATTTTTTATTCATGACGAATTATAATTTAATAATTGCAGTATGTTCAAACGGTTTTTTTATATATCTCTTCTCAAGTAAGATCTTTTCTTTTAAAGGAACAATTTAGAAATTGGTTATCACAAAATGTAAACGAGATTTATTTTATTTACATTTTCATAAAATAATGACACGTGACATAGCGTGTTCCTTTTTTATTTATGATCGGTGAATTGCCCACAGTAATTAGTTACAGAATACAGTACTTTGTTAATCCCTTACCCATACATAATATAGTACGTAATCCTTGCTCGACAAGCACTAACTGATGTATATATTAATTTGGTCTATATATGCCATGAAGAATTAGAGATTTTATTACTTCTAACGAATATTAAAGATCAGCGTTAAAAAAAATACGTATTAAAATTGTTTGCTTATTAAAAATGTCCGAATACTTTTTGCAAGGTAGTATATCTGATTCAACGAATATACGACATATTCATGCAAACTAAACACGTGTCATAAATTTCACAGACTAATTGTATAACACAGATGTTTGATCAACCTGTATTAAGGAATAAAATTGAACTTCAAGCATGTACCTGCTGATTATTACTAACTCGTGGTTTATGCATTTTCTTTGTGAAAAGTTTTTTTCGTCGTTCATTACATCCGCATTCCCAAAGGAGATCAGAAATGAACGGGCGAAATAGTTTAAAAGTGCAGTATATTTAAATTATTATTGTTTTTTTTACTTGTGATTTCGTTTTCACACAGTAATAATATTTTTTTGCGATTAACCGAATACGTATCAACATGGTACATTTAATATCAAATATTGAAGCATTTTTATTAGAAGAATCTCTAGACTCTCTTTTGCGATGCATCTGAAGTTTGCCTAACAATCAAAAACAATATTTTACCTTCTCTCGAGTATGTAAGAGAGATCGTATATCATGCAGTAAACACGTCCCTATTGAAAATAGAAGAAGTTGATCGAAAAACTAGAATTTTGGAATATCAATTCAAGTTAGTATAAATTATAATTGTCCGAAGGACACTCTAATGTACAGCTAGTGTTTGGAACCGATTGTATTAAGTCGATTATATCAACTTGATCAAGCCAGTCGATTCAGTCGACTTAACCGATAAATTTCCTAATTTAAATTGCAGATTTTAATTGGGTTAATAATATCAAAATTAGAATATATATTGATAATTGGATATTTAATAATAATATTAGTTTCATTGTTTTCTCTCTATATACAAGAAAGAAGAAGATATATAATCTATACATAGATATGATTCAGTATAAGATTTTTTTATTATTTTATAAAATGAACAAAAATATTAATCAAAATTATAATGAAATACAGTGGTACCCAAAATTATTTGGAATTTTTTGATGATCATTTGTGCAACAGCCAATAATTTAATAACTACGTAATATGATTTACAGGTATTTAATTTGTAAGAACCACAAAATTAAATGACAGGTATTTGTTAATATGGTTCAAATAATCTATACCCGACAATCACATGAAATGTTTCAATTTTTTATAAAGACAATCAGTTATCACAT